CTTTGAGGATTCATGTCACTGTGATGAATATGTGCAGTATAGCAACTACAAAATTCATTACTGTGATACTCCCACAAAATTGATTTTCCATTGCAGTTGTAACTCGCTTATTAACACAAATCTCAAGAAAAATATATCTCTTAATAGAAGCAGTGTATAACCAACAATTTTTCTTATTGTAATGTAAACAATGCAAATATTCTTCATTTGCTGATGTTTTTGTAGCTTCACTAGACTACCAAAACATTTTTCAACTAATTTTGTAATTATTCAGTTTAGATCCTATTCGATTTATGTAGCCTATATCCTATAACAAGAAAGCACATTAAACCTGGATAATTAAAAAAATTAACTAGTTTTCCATTATTTCTTAAAGCCAATCATAAGAAAATAAAATAATATATTTTATTATAGATATATCATAAATGATAAAATATGAAACCTGTAATACACACACACACACACACACACACACACACACACACACACACACTGTATATATATTTCATGTATATTACATGAAAAACAAGCATTCTGTAGGAGGCAAATTGCATTTGTTAGGCAAAGCAATATTCCCCTCCCTACTTTACCTTCGTTGAACTGAACAATAAATGTCAGTTTAGCCATAAAATATTTTGAAGACCAAAGAACGTTGGTGATGTTGGGAAAAGATGCTAGGTGGTGAGGAAAAAATATCTGGCAAATAAGTTTGATATAAGATAAAGCCATGAAAATAACTCCATAGAAAGTAATTCTATTTATATAATATTGGCTTTGTCTTCTCAAATATGCTATTGCTTTTGCAGCTCTACCAATTATCTCATAGAATTCACTTTCATCAATCATATGTATAACCAATCATACTGAAAAACTATTGATTTACATAACTCTATAATTGTTGCATTCCATCCCTTTTAGGGTTACTTTTCATGCTCCTGGTAGAATAATCTACATTTTTGTTTTAAAGAAAGTGTGTAACTGGTTCCCCTTATCAAATAACTTTATGAAGAAATTTCTCCAATGATAATTTTCCTAATTACTATATAAAGCCACAAATGTGATGGATAATTTTAGTATAATTTTTTAACATTTTTCAAACTTTCTCTTCTTTTCTCTTCTCCTCTTCCCTTCCCTTCTCTCCCCTCCTCTCCCCCTTTTCTCTCTGTCTGACTATCTGTCTGTTGGTCCATCCATCCGTCCGTCCATTTGCATAACATTGAGAAGTCTAGAAAGATCAAGAGGAGTATTCTCCTCCATCTGGTCCTGAAAAAGGTTATCTACAAAAGCAATGAATGCTATTTCTATCCCCTCACTAGGCCCAAATTCTGATTGGAAAGAATCCAGATAATCTCTTCTAGAATTTTTAGTAGCTAATTCCCTAGCACATTCTCAACAAATTCATAAGAGAAAAGTTGCAGACTGGATAAAAATGATATTAAACCACCATTTCAGGAAGGGCTTCTATAAGAAACAGAACATCATTGCCAGTTTCAAAACAGGAGGTATTGCATCTTAAATAAATGCTAATTATCTCCCAGATCCACCATTCACAACCCACAGGAACCAAGAAGGGAATGCACAAGGGTACAGCTAGCAGAATTCAAACTGTTGATTCACTTTATTAGGTTCCACAAAAATTAAAAACAAGGAACAACTTGATTAGGAAAATCATGGGAACAGGTTGAGGAACACAAGCAAAAACATTGCATACAGTAGCACAATCATTAGTTTACTCTGTTGCTGAATACTATGCACATCTATGGAAAAGAAGTTGTCATACCAAAAAGATTGGTGTTTATCTTAATGACACAAAGAGAATAATAACAGAACTCTCAAATCTATGCCGCTCTCATGGCTCCATGTTTTTCCTAATACTGCCCCTCCTGATCTCAGGCGACAACAACAGAAGTTCAAGAATGGAATAAGATAAACAGGCCATTGATTGCTAAAGATCTACCAATACATAAAGTATTAGATTCTCTATCTTGCACCAGGCTTAAGTCTAGAAAAACAGTTTAGGATAACATACCACAGCCTTATGATCTAGATGAAGAATGGCAATCAAAATGGGTAACCGTTAATAACCATTACCAAAAAGATTATGTAGAATAGAATAGAATAGAATACTTTATTGGCCAAGTGTGACTGGACACACAAGGAATTTGTCTTGGTGTAAATACTCTCAGTATACATAAAGAAAAGGTTCTAAACAAAAATACTTCCAGGAATGCAGTTGCCTCCCAAAATATGGAACCATCTGAATAGAATCAAGACAGGCCATACCAGAACTCGGGCAAAGCTCTTTAAGTGGGGAATGTCCACAATGTGACTGTGGTACACCGGAACAAACAACAACAAATATAGTTTGAGAATATCTCCTCAGGAAATTTCCAGGCACCTGGGATGATCTCATCAGAGCCACACCAGAAGCAGTTAGAAGGGTAGCTTCCTTAGATATTGATCTATCCTATTGTAATTTTATGGCATTATATTATGGTGATTTTATTATATTTTACATAATATGTAAATATGTAATTTTCAATAAAATAGAAATTTTTATCTTGTCTATTGTCCACATACTTTACATAGATATATTTGCTGATGCTTTATTTAAACTTATATTTGTGTTTGTGCATATAAAGTGGTTTACTGGTGCTGTATATCAGTGATTATATTATCTCCATAGATGCCATACGCTAAACAAACCATTCAAAATTTGATTTTAGGAGTTCAACAGAAATCAGATTTCCTCTTATAGCTTTATCATTTTGCAAAGTTTGGAAATCTCTATAGTGATACTTTATTATGATACTTTATGATACTTTATTATCATATGTATATGTATAGCAGGTCAAATTATAACTCACAGGTCTGATTTATTTGCTCTTATATTAAATAGCTCACAAAAATGCCAGACTTATTTTTCAGGCAGATCAGAAGTCCCTGCCCCAGAACTAGAGTTTTGGGATTGAATTGGCAGTAACATCACAGAAGGCAGTAGAGTTTTTCTATCTTGGTCTGCTTTTCTCATTTTTTACTATACCTTATAATTTGTACCAATTTCTTCTCTTTTGGAAGAGTCTTAACTATTTTTTTCTGGGCCCAAATTAGCATCCTCAGAGTGAAGGTTGCTGTGAAAGGTGATGAGCCCACACACATTGCTAATTTAGCCTTAGTTACAACACATTATTTATTAAGCCAAAGCTTGGATTTTGGAATGAGTTTTTAACTGGGAGTAATATGGACACCTAACATCAAAAATATCATCAAAAAAGCACAACAAAGAATGTTCTTTCTTTGCCAACTCAGAAAGCTCAAACTACCCAAGGAGCTGATGATACAGTTCTACAGAGGAATTATTGAGTCTGTCATCTGCACCTCGGTAACTGTCTGGTTTGGTTCTGTAACCCAACAAGACAGACACAGACTTCAGAGACTAATTAGGACTGCAGAAAAAACAACTACTACCAACCTGCCTTCTACTGAGGACCTGTATACTGCACAAGTAAAAAAGAGGGCTGTGAAAGTATTTACAGACCCCCTCACATCCCAAACATAAACTGTTTCAACTCCTACCCTCAAAATGACATTATAAAGCACTGCAAACCACAACTAGACACAAGAACAGTTTTTATCCGAACGCCATCCCTCTGCTAAACAAATAATTCCCTCAACACTGTCCAACTATTTACAAAGTCTGCACTACTATTACTATTAATCTTCTCATCACTCCTTATCACTCATCCCCTCCCACTTGTGATTGTATTGACTGTAACTTTGTCACTTGTATCCTTACAATTTATATTGACTGTTTCCTAGTATGATTTGATTGCTTACTGTACCCTATGACTATTATTAAGTGTTGTATCTTATGATTCTTGATTCTTGACAAATGTATCTTTTCTTTTATGTATACTGAGAGCATTTGCACCAAGACAAATTCCTGGTGTGCCCAGTCACACTTGGCCAATAAAGAATTCTATATTAGATTTTAGATGTTTCTGAGTACAATTGGTAATTTGTTGATAAATAGCTATTATTCTTCATAACCCTCAAAGATAATTTAAAATGGGATCCTTTGGAGATATTAAAAAGCTGTGAGGCTGTTCCCACAGGCTTGCTAGTCTACTTAATTTGGGAATTCGAAGCAGTCATAGGAGACCAAGCAGTCTCCTCTATGCCTTGTCATCCTGTCTGCATACTAAATATCAACATCAAAAAGTGGGAAATGATCACATCTATCCTTTCATTGGAAGCAAATTTAAGGATTTTACTAATATGTAATCAATCACACTGGTACCCTCGCCTCCCTAAAAAGATAACCCAGAAGCTTCAGTTTTCATGACTTGCATATTTATGGGCATGTCTTATTATGCCTGGATGATGTCACTATTATGAGAGTTCTAATGGTTACCAGTTGGCTTCTGGATATAATTTAAGATGTTACTAGTTATCTTTAAAGTACAATATGGCACAAGAGCTGTTTAGGGCCCCCTTTTCCTTTGCCCACCCAATAAGATCAGGTTGTGCCTTGAAAGTCCCTATGCCAATAAAGTATCATCTGGGTCTGTGTTATTTTCTGTTACATTTATCATTTTAATCTTTTCATGATAATTGGTAATATATACCACTTAAGAGTCCATTTATGATTGAAGCAGCCTATAAACCTGAGTAAACCAAACAAACAAATAAATGAGAGTTCTACCTTCTAATCACCAAGAACCAATTCATAGTAGGTCAAATTTAATACCTAACTGCAATAATCTCTACTCCCTTTTAAAATTCCATTGTCCTTAGATTAATAAGATCCAAACTGAGGCAAACTATCATGGTTGACAAAAAATGATATTTTCATTTATAAAGTATAAAATGAATAATAGGACAAAAGAACATGAGAGAAATATATTCTGTGATATATGTATTTCAGTTTTACTTTCTGACATTAATTGGTAGTAATAATAATTAAAAAACAAGATGTTAAAAATAACATTTTATCATACCTGTTGCTGATCCCGTAATGCAGCTTCAGCTCTTTCTTTATGATCATAGAAATCCATAAGCTGATTTTTGTCATTTAGATAGCATATCTGCAGCATCTGATACTCGCGTGCTAAGCGTAGGTTTTCATCCAGTACATCATCCAGGGAAATCTAAGGAGAGTTATTCTAGTTTGCCATTACAAACAATTTTTAAAAGTTACTACATATATATTTATAAGTAAAGTCATATATTACTTGTATTAGTTATACATCATGTCTATATTATAAACACAAGTGTAATATATACTGCTTCATACCTCTAATCAATAATATGTAAAATCAATAACAACAACAACAACCTTGTTGGAAGGTATGAGTAACAGGATGAAAAATAATTCTTCTACTGAAAAATGGCTGTGAAAAAAACAACTAAACTACATATAAAAACCCTCAGGAATGGAGTTTTGTACATGTAATTGGTGCTGATATAGCCTACATACACTTGTGATCCTTGCTGATTTATGAAATATGTTTCATAACATTAAGACCCAAGTCATAAGAAATAAAAGCACAACCCAGAAACATTAATTACATTGGTCATAATGTAAAACTAGGTACAGGAATTTATAGCTTAAATGTAACCAAGAATGTCAAAAGCCAACATTTAGACTCCCAAATAAAATGTTTTATTTTATTTTATTTATTTTTACTTAAAATATTTTTATAGGCAGGCATCTTAATACCAACTCTGGGCTTCTCACAACCAATTAAAATGCATACAATCATAAAAACAACAGTGGTAAAACTGAAAAACAGAAAAAGATGCCACAACTGCACCTTCTTGATGCAACCCACATTCTCATGTTGCCCTGACCTCCCCTATCCCAGAGACTTGGGGAAGAGTCAGGACTCTTTGGAAAAATAAAATATCCTCCAAGACCCTCTTAGAAAGTGTAATCCTTCAGTTAGTCTGGTAATTGTTTCTTGAAGAGATATGTAAACTATGATTATGAAGTTGTCTTGAATGTATATTGTATGAGGCTATGAAACCATCAGGAAAATTTTATTTGTAATGTGATCCTGTGAATCAATTGTTTCTTATCACTTAATAGATATAAAGTCACTTCACAGAAGATAAACAATTGTTCAATAACCTTTATAAATTTTTTTTGTGGGACTGAGGATTTTTTGAGGCGGGATTTATGTTGTCCAAATATTATGCATACAAAAAAATGACATTTCTTGTCTGATATAAGAAACTTGACAATTATTAAGTGATAGTTGGGAAGTTGCTGAGGAAAAAAAAATCCTAATCTAAGTACTTCCTTTCCTTTCTGCTATCAGTTTCACTCAGAGAAACCACTGTTTCAAAATTGGCCAACAATGATGAGAGTGTTGTCCAATGTGTGAAGTAGCAGATCAATAGCTATTTACCTGAAGGTAGAAGCAGTAGTTATATACCTGAACTAATGAGCTCCCAGCACTCAGGAACAAGTATGATCCTTTGAAATCAAAATGGTTATGCTGAAGGGATATGAGAAAAGAGCTTAGAAGTCTTAATGTGTGGGTAATACCAGTGGAATCTGGGGTAGGTGAGTGGAGAGAGACAAAGGTAGGTCAGAATGAGGAAATATTGTGGCATTGTGACACAATTTTCACCTTTTTTCTGTGTGCTGATGAAATGCCAGTGTATAAGAAAGTGATGTCAAATAGAGGGGATTAGACTGATTAGGCCAGGGCTGTCAAACTCCCAGCTCATGGACCAGATGCATCACGATAGTCACGTGACGCCACTGTGATGACATGAGTTTGACACTGAGGAACTTTTAAGGACAAATCAAATGTGTACAAGATAAAGAAACCAAAATGGAATTAGGCTGCTGGTTTTTGATATTAGGCAATACCAGAGATGCTTTCAAGCTGATTCTTGAAAGGAAGTCAAAAGATGAGAAATAGTGTAGATATTTTAGAAAATACAATAAGAGATAGGATTAATGTTTGATAGTGGGTTAATGGGTAGTCAGATCAGGTCAGACTGAAAATAAAAAGCTTATGAGAAAGGTTCATATCAGCAACAACAGAAAAGGGACCTGATGCCCTATTTCAAAGAGGAACCAAAGTTAACACTAATATTTATATGCTTCCTTGCAAATGTTAGCAGTGTCCATGCAATTAGAATGCTTGGTTACAGATGAGAAAACAGGTATAATGAGTATAACAGACACATGGTGTATCAGAAAGAATAAGTAGAAAACAGTCATTCTTGATAAACTTTATAGGAAGGACATGGAAGGGTATAGTGAGGAAAGTGAAGTGATGCTCTTTGTATCACATAGGATATAAAATCTAATGTACTAGAAAGTATTGGAACACTGGATTCCTCCACAGAATCACTATGGATGGCAATATCTAATATAAACTAGATTTAAGGATATGCTATTGCCCACCTGATCAAAATGCAGAAGGTGAAAGAAATCATGGAGGCGTGCAAAGGAGAAGCTATTGTAATAATGTAGGACTTCAGCTATACTCACATAGGCTAGGTACATTCAAGTTTAGGCTATGACAAAGAAACAAATCTCTAAATAATCTAAATGAGTATGTTTTAGAATACAAAAAAAGCATTTTTTAATTTAATTCTAAATGGTGACATTGATCTGATACAAGGTGGAGGTGTTGTAGAATTAATAAGAATTTTTTAAATAATGCTATGACATTTGGCATAAGGAAAAAGAAAATTTGAAAATGAAAAGCTGACAAAGAAAGAATCAAAATAAAGGACCAACTCTGTTTATAATATTTATATGTATTATAATTATTTATATTTACAATATAATATGGGGAATGTTTAAACTAAAGGACTCAAGCAATTTCTGTATAAGAAGAGGCTAGGAAGATTTGGAACTTTTAGCTGAGAATAAAGATTAATGTACTGTTACAGTATATAAAACAATGTCCATGATCAAAACAGAGGAGCAAAAGTTTTGGTCCCTCTCAAATATCAGGAAAAAGGTCATCCAGTGATGGAAGGTTTAAATAGAGGAAACATATAGAATAGAATAGAATAGAATAGAATAGAATAGAATAGAATAGAATAGAATAGAATAGAATAGAATAGAATAACAGAGTTGGAAGGGACCTTGGAGATCTTCTAGTCCAATCCCCTGGTTAGGCAGGAAACCCTACACCACTTCAGATAAATGGTTATCCAACATCTTTTTTAAAACTTCCAGTGTTGGAGCATTCACAACTTCTGGAGGCAAATTGTTCCACTGATTAATTGTTCTAACTGTTAGGAAATTTCTCCTTAATTCTAAGTTGCTTCTCTCCACCCTTTGCTTCTTGTCCTGCCCACAAGTACTTTGGAGAATAGCTTGATTCCCTCTTCTTTGTGGCAGCCACTGAGATATTGGAACCCTGCTATCATGTCTCTCCTAGTCCTTCTTTTCATTAGACCAGACACATCCAGTTCCTGTAACCGTTCTTCATATGTTTTAGCCTCCAGTCTCCTCTTCTCTGCACTCTTTCTAGAGTCTCAACAACTTTTTTGCATCATGGTGACCAAAACTGAATGCAGTATTCCAAGAGTAGCCTTACCTTTATTTATTCATAAAGAACATAATTAATTGTGGAATACATTACAGGGAGATGGCTTAAAAATAAAAATAAATAAATAATGATGCTCTCATTTAAATATGACAGGCAGGCAGACATAAAATCAATGGAAGACAAGCCTATCAAGAGCTAATAGTCTTGGAAATGCCATATTAACTTGAGGTTGAAGGTAGCATGCTTTCAAAAGCAGGGATAGCACCCCAAGGGCATATAGTTGATAACTATGAGAAACAAAATGCTGGATTATGGTGACCGCTGTTCTTGTGTTCATGTTCTGGATGACTGTTACTTAGGTCAGGGAAACTACATTTGAATGATACATGCAGCTGCTTTGAGAAAAATATTGGTGATTTAAATCATGAATATTTTCTAAATTACCAGTGTGCACATGTTTGGATTGATGACCATTGAGTTTATAATGGATGTAATTGTGCTATTTTTACATAGGTGTGTGATTTATTATCATAAAATGAGTTGCATGAAGTGTTTTTTGTTACATGAAGATTATATATGTAAAGTTTGATTTGTTTCATTTAAAGATTAGAACCTGTTGCTTTTGTGAAGAAAACTGTGTTAAAATATGAAATATAATTTATGATCTACCAAATTAAACATTACTTGAACATTTGAACTATGATTAAGGTACACTATAATAAAATCATAGAATAGCAATTCAACAAAATTGTACAAATATAGGCTTTCTAGAATGTTATTTTTAAATTTCAACTAATATGGAGACAAATGATACATTTTTTAACAAAACAATTCTGATGAAAGGCTTATTTGTTTAAGCTGTTTCCTAGAATACCCAGGTCTATGGAATATCTATGGAATATCTGTAAAGGACCTTGGAATACTCATCTCTAATGATCTAAGTTCTAGAGCCCACTGTAACTACATAGCCAAAAAGGCATTAAGAGTTGTTAACCTAATCCTACGTAGCTTTTTCTCTGGTAATATCACACTACTAACTAGAGCATACAAAACATTTGCTAGACCAATACTCAAATACAGCTCATCAGTCTGGAACCCACATTACGTATCTGATATTAGCACAGTTGAGAAAGTCCAGAAATATTTCACAAGAAGAGTTCTCTACTCCTCTACTCGTTGTAGAATACCTTATGCCACCAGACTTGAAATTCTAGACCTAGAAAACCTTGAATTATGCCATCTTCGGTCTGATCTAAATATGGTATATAAAATCATACATTGCAATGACTTACCTGTCAATGAATACTTCAGCTTCAACCATAACAACACAAGAGCACACAATAGATACAAACTCAAGGTTAACCACATCAAACTTGATTGCAGGAAATAGGACTTCAGCAACAGATTGGTCAATGTCTGGAATACTCTACCTGACTCTGTGGTTTCTTCCCCAAACCCTAAAAACTTTAACCTTAGAGTTAGAGTTAGGGTTAAACCTAAGGTTATAGACTGTCTACTATTGACCTCACCCCTTTCCTAAGAGGTCTGTAGGGGGCGTGCAAAAGCGCACCAACGTGCCTACCATCCCTTTCCTATTGTTTCTTTTATTTGTCTTATATATA